GCAAGAGAAGGGGACACACAAAGGGCGTTTCCATTTGGAACATTCTATCCCAAACAGGGCAAAGGGGTAGTATCAGAAAGGAACAGGTGAGCGTAGCTCTAGCTCAATCCATGGGGCTGCAGGAAGGCACGCCTATGCATGAAGACACATTCTTCTACTTCAAGGATTGGGCAGTGTCTAGGGCCACTACGAAGGTGACCAGATCACTACGAAAGTGACCGACAGAGCCTCTACCAATCACAGGAAGGAAAATGCTAGTCATTCAGCACGACCACCCCCCACAAGCCTTCTTTCCTTTTTTTCTTAGTCTAAGTAAGGATTTGTTGCTTTTTTTTTAAACCCATAATCTTTTATTTCATTGATTATTTTGTGTGATTTTTTTTAGTCTCAATTCATTTCTGCTCTGATCTTTATTGTTTCTTTCTACTAATTTTAGGTTTGATTTGTTCTCGCTCTTAAGTTCTTTGTGTCACATTGTTGTGTTGTTTCTTTGATATCTTTCTGTTGTATGTATTTATGGCCACTGATTTCCCTCAGTAGTGCTTTTGCTATATACCATGGATTTTGTTATGTTTCCATTTTCATTTGTTTTAAGAGACTTTAAACTTCCCCTTTAACTTCTTCATGATTCATTCGTTGTTCAGGACCATATTGTTTAATTCTGTATATCTGTATAATTACCACAGTTTTTCCATTGTTGATTGTAATTTTATTCCATTGTGGTCAGAGAAGATACATGATATGATTTTGACAACCTAACACATTGTCTGCCCTGGAGAATATTGCATGCAATGATGAGAAGAATGTGTATTTTTGCAGCTGTTGGATGAAGTGTTCTAGAAATATCTGTTAGGGTCCATTTGATCCGTATCGTAGTTTAACTCAAATATTTTTTGTTGGTTTTTCTGCCTGGATGATGTGTCCATTGATCAAAATGGGGCATTGAGGTCCCCAAGTATTATTGTATTGGAATCTCTGTCTCCTTTAGATCTAATATTCACTTTGTATATTAGGTTGGCACAGTGTTGGTGTTAATATATTTACAACTGTTATATCTTCTTGCTGAATTGATCATTTTATCATTACACAATGGCCTTCTTTGCTTTTATACAGTCTGTCAGTTTGTTTTGTCTAATTCAGGTGTAGCTCCTCCTGTTCCCTTTTAATTTGTTTGCATGGAATATCTTCTTCCATCTCTTCACTTTTGGTCTATTTGTGTCTTTACTGATGATGTGAGTTCCTTGTAGGCAACATAGAATTGGGTGTTTTTTAATCCATTCATCTGTTAATTGGGGAATTTAATCCTTTTAAATTTGTGGTTATTATTAACAGGTAACATTCAACTCCTGTTATTATGTCAATTGTTTTCTTATTGTTTTGTATAGTCTTTGTTTCTTCCTCTTATTATTAATCTTTGTGGTTTAGTGATTTTCTTAGTGATAAAATTTGATTATCTTCTCTTTATCTTTTGTTTCAATTCTGTCAGTGAGTTCTATACTTCGTGTGTTTTCATGGTGGTAGTCATGTTTCTTCTGCTTCTAAACATAGGCTTCTTTACGCATTTCTTGTCAGGTTAGTCTGCTGGTGTTGAACTCCCTCAGTTTTTGTTTATCTGAGAAACTTTACTTCTCCTTCATTTCTGAAGAATAGCTTTGCTAGGTATACTATTCTAGGCTCAAGTATTTTCCTTTCAGAACTCTGAATCCATCATCCCATCTTCTCCTGTCTTATAGAGTTTCTGCTGAGAAATCTGTTAGTCTAATTGGGAAGGGGTGTTGAATTTGTTCATATGCTTTTTCTGCATCTGTTGAGATAATCAGATGTGATTTGATCTTTTTTTTTCTCATTACTTTTAGAATTCTGTCTTTGATATTTGACAGTTTAATATTAATATTAATGTGAATCGCAGAGGATCTCTTTGGGTTGAGTTTAATTAGGATTCTTTGAGCTTCCTGGACCTGATGTCTATATCTTTCCCAAGACTTGGTAATATTTCAGCTATTTTTTTGTTGTTGTTAAATAACCTCCTCCTCCTCCTCCCCCTCCTCCCCCTCCTCCTCCTCCTATTATGGGATGACTGGCTATGCAGCAGGCTCAATGGGCGGATAGGGTTGCTGCCTGGCTGGCTATTGGGCCAGCCTTGGGTGTATTCTGGATGGTTGTATGATGGGCTCTCTTCTGGCATGAAGGTACTGTTTGTCTGTCAGGCCAGGTAGATATGTGTAGGTGTGCTGGGCCACTGGCTGTGCATCATCATCCTTTTTGTGCAAATCTCCCTGGGGATGGGGTGCTGCATGGATTTGGAAACCAAGTCTCAGCCTTTCTGCTAGGCTAAAGCCATGAGCAGTTTGGAGGTACAGCAGCCAGCTGTGTGAGCATGATGGAGTAAAATTGGAACCTCAGGAATGAAGACATGCCATGATAGCTAGGCCTCAGACTTTCTAACAGTGTGTCTGGTTTCAAGGTGGTGTTGAGCTGTCACTTCTAATATCATGGAGAGGGATGAAGGGTAGACGATGTGGGCTTCTCCCCTGACAATGCAGCCATGTGTGGAGAAACTCTTCAAACTGCAAAGCCTGTGAGGGTCGTAGCGGTCTCCTTTATAGTCATCTGCATCAGTATGATAACTATGGGGTCTTCAGAAGCATGGTGACCTTTGGGGTCTGTAGCAGCATGGAAGCCTTTACGGTCTCCAGTAGTTGACATTCTTGGGGTCTGAAGCAGTGTGGGAGCTGTTAGGGTCTCCAGAAGTGGGGACCATTTGTGTCTACAGTAGTCTGATTACCTTTGGGGCCTGTGGCAATGGGGACTCTTGGAATCTGTAGTGTAGTGGGGACCCTTAGGGCCTCTAATTTCCCTTTTCTCTGTAAGGAGCAGTTGTCTTGGTGGCAAGACAGGTCTGAGTTGGGGAGACGGTGTGGGGAGATTGAGTCACTCTCCTCCTGATGGTGCCTGTTTTTTGTGCTCCACAGAATGTGCCACTTCCTGCTGTTTGCCAGTACCCTTCTTCAGTCACTCCAGTCAGAGGTAGTTGTTTATACTGTGGTCCCTTTTTGTGTGGGGTACCAGGCAACTCTGGCCATCTTGCTGACATTACTCTACAATAGTTTTTATTTTTCTTTAAAAAAGATACTCAATTTTCATTTTCTCAAAATAATAAAGATGTCAACTTTTCATTTTGATCCTGTGCTTCTCCCATTTTCAGCTTGGATGAAAGTATACACCTCTTAAGTTATGATCATAATAAATCTCATTCTTGTGGTAATTGTCATTGATCAATAACATAAGATCAATAAATTCTCAAACAGGATTTTTTTGGTTAAAATTTTAGCCTTCTCCATCAGTCCAGGAATATCATGGTTGGGCAGTAAGACAAAGTAAAAATTGCAGAAGCCATACAAACCAATGACCTAGGAAATCAGATTCCAGTTGAGTGAAAAGTTTCTGAATTGACCAAACAGCATGTGGATTGAACTGAAGTATTGCATAATAATTTTGGGGAAATAATCTGAACTTTGTAGACTTATCTGAGGTCTTTTTTCCATCACTAATAGATTATTCTTCTGCACTTGGAATACCAAGAAGTGAGTTTGACTGTTGTTAGAGTATGTAACGTAGCATTCATCTTCAAGTCAGATCTTTAGGAATCTATCTCCTGTGTATCTAGGAAAGATGCTGATGAATCATCTTTTGGAGAAGTGATTTCAGAAGAATCACAAGAAGTGTATATTGTAGTATGTTCCTATTCTCTTGTTACATTTGTAGAAGGTAGTTTCCTCTTCAGTTTTTTAATTTATTTTTTAGTTGTAATTGGACCCAATACCTTTATTTTATTTATGTATTTTTATGTGGTGCTGAGGATCGGACCCAGCGCCTCGCATGTGCTAGGTGAGCGCTCTACTGTTGTGCCACAATCCCGGCCCCTCCTCTTCAGCTTTTTGATTAATACATTGATTCTGTTGTCTCCTGCATTTGCTGACTTTAGTTGGTCCTTCTGAAAACTTGAAAAAGCTGATTGCTCACAGTGCCCCTTTACATCTTGTGGAGTTGGTGGGAATTCAGGGTCCAAATCATCCATATAACTTTTCAACTGGTCAACAATGTCTGTAAGGTGACGCATTCTAATCATGAGGCAATGATCTTGCCCTTGGGAACTTGATTCATGGGCCCCTATCCCCAGGAAGAAGACTATCAGACAGAATTATCCTCTCCACGTTGCCAGGACTGGATTTCCTAAGTACAACAGTAGATCAGGAGCATACCTCCTCTTCACTTCAGTGTGACTGACAGGTTGTCAGTAAAGCTACCTATTTATTCATCATGCTTCAGGGAGAGGAAAAGCTCTCCCTTTAGCCTGGAAATCTTTGTTAGATACTGTCTTCTCTGGGTGTGAGTGTAACAGTGGTTCACTTCTTACTTTGAATATAGCCCTTGCTGCTCTGCCATTGACTTATTTTCTTATTTTCCACTGACTTATTTTTAAAACAAATATGTTTCTTTCCACAAGGGTCTTTCTGAGATCTCTGAATCCTTGACTCCCACCTTCCGCTTTCCCTGTTCTTCCGAGATAGGGTGAAGAAGGGTGGTATGTGGTGCTGGTCCAGGAGTCCCTCAGGCTCCACTGTACTCCAGCCCCACTCACTGCTGCCTTTCATGGGATTGTCTGAAGTACAGCTGGGGTTGGTTTGTGCATAGTGTAGGCTTGGACTCAGTTGGAAGACAGGTTCACTGCCAGGCCAGTGGCTGAGTGTCCATTCACAGTGCCTCTGAACTGGAGGGCTGGTAATGCAGGTGGAAGTCATTGCCAGCATATCTGGTGATGGCTTGGGATTCCAGGTGAGCCCCTGGCCCCATACTGGCCTGTGGTTGGACAGTGGGGAACACGGGGCATGAATCTATCACTGCCCTTGGGAGAAAGGACACAGGTAGTAGGAGGAGTATGTTTCCTCCCAGACTCAATGTGGAAACCCTTTCCGTTTCCTTCTGCTTTTTCCTGCCAGGATCCTTGCCACAGCTGGAACTGACTTCGACCTGCGAACACTGAGGGCTGTGCGCGTGCTGAGGCCTCTGAAGCTGGTATCGGGGATTCCAAGTGAGTCCAGCTAAGACAGTCAGGCCCAAGCCTACCTGGAACACCAACCTCCTCCCTTCCTTCTCACCACAGCCATGGCCACAGTTAAGTCCCTGACTGTGGCTGTAGGGCCTTGTGACTCTGAGCTTGCCCTGCTCCCCGACCCTTTTGGTGATGGGGATTGAACTCAGAGCCTTGAGCATGGTAAGCACATTCTCTCTTTGCCACTTAGCTAAACACCAAGCCCCTGAGCTTGCCATTTCTGACCCCAGGGAAACAGGCAGGAGGAAGAGAGGAACAGGCATTTTCCAGGCTATTCTCTACAAAATGACAGAGAGGGACCCTGTTACTGTGCTCTGACTTGGCTTCCCTAGATGGAAGCTTTGTTCCTACCCACAAAGAGAGTTGTTTTTAGTCCTGCTTCATTTTGTGGGGTTGAAGAACAGAAGAAAGCTTGACCAGGGATGGCACAGAATGTGTGGGAAAATATTCAAAGGCTGCAAAGGGCCTCCTGCGTTAGATGAGCCTGACTAGGCCTTGGGGGACTGAGACTGGACATGATATATGCTCCTGGTTTGGGCCATGAAGGAGACAAACATGGGCAGGGTGGCCAGGGGAACTGGTGAGCCAGTGGCCACCCTGGCCTCTATTCCCCAGTCTAGTGGAAGCTTGGCTTTAGGTTTACCTAGGAGCCTGGGTGGGCAGGGACCTAGTTCTGTGTCTTCCTAGGGCCACTGCAGAAAGATCTTTGGATAGCTCCCTGTTCTACACTGAATAGGCACGGCCCCTGGCCCATACTCAGGGCCATGCTGGAAGAGTGAGAGATCATGGGGTTACAGCCTTCTCTGCTTATTTTTCTGGCCTGAATTCAATCACACCCTACAGCCAGTAGAAACACACTTCTCATTTTTGGAGGAGAGTGGATCTTCCCCATTCTCCATAAAGAATCTGGACAATTAAGGACTTCCTTACTGCTTTTGCAGGATGCCCTGTGATTCCTTCCCATGATTCCCTGTACTTTCCCCTAGGATCCCCCGCTGTGCCTTCTAAGAAGTCTCTGCTCTTCCCTCCCAGGAGTCCCTGCTCTTAGCTCCCAGCGTTCTTTGTTCTTCCTTCTTAGGATTTCTGTTCTTCTTCTCAAGATCCCCTGCTCTTTCCTCCCAGGATCCTCTGCTTTTACCTCCCACCTTTCTTTGATTTTTCTTCTGAGGATTCCTGCTCTTCCCTGTCAGTAGCCCCTGCTCTTCCCTCCCAGGATGCCCTGTTCTTAACTCCCAGGATCCCCTGCTCTTCCCTCCCAGGGTCCCCTGCTCTTCCCTCCCAGGGTCCCCTGCTCTTCCCTCCCAGGGTCCTCTACTTTACCTCCCACTTTTCTTTGCTTTCCCTTCTGAGGATTCCTGCTCTTCCCTGTCAGTAGCCCCTGCTCTTCCCTCCCAGGATCCCCTGCTCTTCCCTCCCAGGGTCCTCTGCTTTACCTCCCACTTTTCTTTGCTTTCCCTTCTGAGGATTCCTGCTCTTCCCTGTCAGTAGCCCCTGCTCTTCCCTCCCAGGATGCCCTGTTCTTAACTCCCAGGATCCCCTGCTCTTCCCTCCCAGGGTCCTCTGCTTTACCTCCCAGGATCCCCTGCTCTTCCCTCCCAGGGTCCCCTGCTCTTCCCTCCCAGGGTCCCCTGCTCTTCCCTCCCAGGATCCCCTGCTCTTCCCTCCCAGGGTCCTCTACTTTACCTCCCACTTTTCTTTGCTTTCCCTTCTGAGGATTCCTGCTCTTCCCTGTCAGTAGCCCCTGATCTTCCCTCCCAGGATGCCCTGTTCTTAACTCCCAGGATCCCCTGCTCTTCCCTCCCAGGGTCCTCTGCTTTACCTCCCACCTTCCTTTGCTTTTCCTTCTGAGGATTCCTGCTCTTCCCTCTCAGGAGACCCTGCTCTTCCCTCCCAGGATGCCCTCTTCTCAACTCCCAGGATCCCCTGCTCTTCCCTCCCAGGGTCCTCTGCTTTCCCTCCCACCTTTCTTTGCTTTCCCTTCTGAGGATTCCTGTTCTTTCCTGGATTCTTGGACTTCAAACTCTGACACCTCTTCATTCTGTTACTCCCCCTTTGAGACACTGCTCAGTCCGCCTCTCCCTAGGAGGTCACACTCTGCCCCATATGAGTCCTCACTCTCACAGCCTTCCCTATTGTGTCCCCTACTTTGAGGCCATGGCTCTGTTCTTTGACCTCATCAACAGTTACAGCTCCGCTTCTGCCCCAGGTCTCAGCCCTCCCCTCCCTGGATTTTTGCTGCTCTGTTACTGCCTTCTCCCCTGCCCCCACCTTTGCTCTCTGACCTGCGCTGCTCTGATCACAGGTTTGCAGGTGGTGCTCAAGTCCATCATGAAGGCCATGGTTCCACTGCTGCAGATTGGGCTGCTACTCTTCTTTGCCATCCTCATGTTTGCCATCATTGGCCTCGAGTTCTACATGGGAAAATTCCACAAGGCCTGTTTCCCCAACAGCACAGGTGAGGTCTCCTATCATCTCGGCTCAGTTGAGGACGACAGATTTATCCATCCAGGAGACAGGCATCACTGTAGGTGCTAGAGAGAACTGGTAGGTGCCAGATTACTGAGACAGAAGATTACAACCGGTAAACAAATAATAGACACACAAATAAAATAATACAGATTGTAGCCACTTCTGGAAGGAAACAAGAAAAATGTATTTGAAATACAGTAATTTAGTGTCAGCTCATTAGAAGGTAGCCAGGGGGAGGCAAAGGCTGAAACAGGATCCAAAGGGAGGATATCTCAATCTTGGAGAGATGGCAGTGGCCAGGGCCAGGCGTTTGGTAGAGGTAGTTGGAATGAGCCATATTCTGGGTACTTGTAGGTAAAGCTATAAGGTTTTCCTGTTGAGTGTAAGAGAAAGAGTTAAGGAAGACAGTAAATTTGAGTCTTGAGCACTCAACACATTAAAGGAGAAAACCCAGGTGATCATCTCTTAGATCCCAAAGAGCATTTACTATAATTTAAGTTAGTCATGATTTATTTTTTTATCATTTATTTTTTTATGGTACTGGTATGAAACCCAAGGCCTTGTATATGCTAGGCATGCACTTTGCTGCTGAGCCACATCTCTAGCCCCTAAATTATTCATAACTTAAAAAAAAAATTTTCATCAAGCTGTAAATGAAAGATACTTTTCTTAAATTCCCTGCAAACATTGAATTTCATTGTGAGACCTTTTCCTTCAAAGTCAGGATCAAAGCAAGGGCGTAGCTGGTCTGCATGGCATTGGCAGTGTGACCAGTGCAGGAGACCAGAAGGAAGCGAGAGTGTCAAGTCAGACAGGAAGAAACCGTCCTAGTTTACAGAGAATGCAGTTGTGTACAGAGACAAATGAGGACTTCCTTATGAAATTTATCTAGATATTTGGAAAGGGAGAAATAAACTTGTGTGGCCAGTTTTGCCTTCTAACCCTGGGAGGACTTGCTTTCCATCCTTGCAGTTCCTCAAATTATCTCCTATGTTGATAGGAGGGATTTTCATATGTTGGTACACATTTTTATAAAATTTTCTTCTACTTTGTCGCTGGAATTTTGCGAGTGAAGAGGCTAAACACTCTATGTCATATTCTGTTAACTGTCTTGTCCCAGAGGTTAGCAATTTTTTTTTTTTTTTTTTTGATGCTGGGGATTGAACCCAGGGTCTCATGCATGCCAGACAAGTATTCTACCACTGAGCTATGTCCCAACCCTGATGTTTTCTTTACCACCTCTCTAGGTGGTCTTTTGCTGCCCACTACATTGCAGGAAAGTAGAGGGATCCCCACTCTGTAGGGGCCAGTGCAGTGGTGACTGGGCCAGGAGGCCTCCAATTTCTCTCTGGGCATATGTTGAACTAACTCTCAGTTATCCTGTGTGCAGGTCCAGGACTGCACAGTGTCTGAGTCTAGCTTTATACTAACCAACCGCCTTGCTGGCTCCATTGTGACAATCAAATCTTCATGTTAGAAGACTTTTGTGGTTTGTCTATGAGGGAGAGGAGAAATCAGGGTGGTAGTGGTAGGAAGAATTGGAAGGTAGGAGTTTGTTGGTTTTTATTTTAAAATGAATGGGCTTCTGAGCTTGTTTAAATGATGATGGACAGGTTCCCAGGGAGAGGGAGATACTGACCAGAAGTCCTAACAGGGTGGGTCCTGACCTCGGGTGGAAGCAGGGGGCAGGTGGAAGGAGTGGTTAGGCAATTGATAAAGAGTGTCTGGAGGTACCAGGTTCCTGCTGCCTACAGTGCGCTCTCTAGCACCCAGGAATCCCAGAGGGGTTGGAGAACTTTGTGTTTCTGAGCTCAGGATCTGCTTCATTTTCCTCCTCACAGATGCAGATCCTGTGGGTGACTTCCCCTGTGGCAAGGAGGCCCCTGCCCGGCTGTGTGAGGGTGACACCGAGTGCCGGGAGTATTGGCCAGGACCCAACTTTGGTATCACCAACTTTGATAACATCCTGTTTGCCATCTTGACAGTGTTCCAGTGCATCACCATGGAGGGCTGGACTGACATCCTCTACAATGTGAGTTGCATCTTGGCCCTAGGCCTGAGGTGGGCTCGGGAGCTCCTGGGTGGGTCCCTCTTGGGATCCCATTTGGGGGCACTTCTGACTGAGAGCCTCTGTACCGCCCTGAGAGCCCCTTCCTCCACCCTGGAATAAGTTTCAGGGCCCTTTATCCAGATGGTGTGTCAAAGGCTTCTGCAGTCAGTCTCAACTCAAGCTCTTGACCTAGGTCTTCCTCAAGTTGCTCTGTGAAGGTGGGGCTGTGGGCAGGGGTGGAGGTCAAAAGATACTGTTGCAGACAAGATGCTGTCAGTGGTGAAGGTGCAGCAGCACAGTAGTCAGTGCTCATGTGAATCTGTGCCACATTAGGCTTGGGAGGTGTCACATGCCTCCTGACTCCTTGTACAGGTGACAGATTAGGTCATAGAGAGACTAATCTAATTCACCCACGCCAGGCCTGCAGGCAGCTGACTGGAAACCACTGTTCACACCACATCTGTGGGGTCTTCTGGGTGGAATTGAGGGCCACTGAGCTCTAGGGCCTCTTATTGGGTCCAAGCTGGTGAAGATGAGGAGCAGGGGAAGGTTTGAGGTGGCACTGAGCTAAGGCCCAAGGAAACCTCCTTGGTCATGTTGGGATTCTTGGGGTTGAGTCCTGGTGCTGTCTCTTCTTGGTTTTCTCAGTCTCATGAAGCCAGCCCTTCTCAGCAGTTCAGAGCAGTCTAGGTTTGGTGACCATAATGGAAGTCCAGGATGACCCATCTCACGTCCATCTCCCTCTACCTGTGATTCCTGGTGAACTCTGCTCTTGACTACTGAGCAAATCTCTTTTATGTGAAGACCCCCTGCTACCTTGCATTCCTCCTGTTGAAGTGCTGTGAGGACAATCAAAGCAGTGCCCTGGGACTTTGGGAGGTGGAGAAGGAAGGTGCCTGTGAGCCAGGACTCTGGGAAGGTTTGGCTGGTAGACTCTTAGTTTGGGGTAGCAGAGGTTGTGTTCTGCTGAGTGCTGTTGGGAATGGGGGTGGGGTGCTACAACATAAGATGTTGTCACCTAGAGTCTGTTACTTGTGTATTTTGAGGGTGGGCCTGAACCACATGCGCCTGGGGCCCTGTGCCTCTTTCTGAAGCTTCTCACAGCAGTGTCCATGATTGCTTGTAGATAGGAGGAAAGGGAGAGAGTGGGACCCTCTGCTCTGCCTACTCCACAAGTTTGTGGGTGCCCCAGGATGACCTTGGGCTAATGTTAGGCAGGTTCTTGGTAAGTGCTTGCTGGGCTGCTCTGTCGAGCTTGTTGAGCAGGAAGATGGCAGATGAGTTAAGGAAGAGCTGGCCAGGGCCCACTGAACCAGATTCTTTGTTGAGCAAAGGTCTATCTGATGACAGGCTCTGTGTGGCCGAGGGAATGAGAACAGGGACAAAGGCAGCAATGAGAACCATGGCTGTTCTCTCCCTTTTACCAATTAAGGCGCAATTTCCACAAGGCAGATCCTAACAATAGCTCTGAACTGTCCACATTTCTCTCCCACCCAAAAGGAGGACTGTAACCAGGGCTCCAAATCCCTCAGTGTCCATAGGGGCTTCACCAGCAGCCACATGTGACTCAGGCTTCCTGTCTGTGTTTGTGCCTCCCTTAGGGGATAGACAGGAACCAGACCTGGGCAGGAGGCGCTGGCCAGGAAGGGACACAGAGCTTTCATCCAACCCATATTTGATAGGGCCCGCGGGCACTGGGCACTGCATGTACCTTGGCAAGTAGGAGGCGCTAGATGTGTGAGGGTCTAGATAGTGGCAGTGCTCTGAGGGAACAAAGGAGAGTGAGCAGTGGAGATTGACGGGTCAAGGGCCGGGAAAGCAGGCCTGGTGAGGGCTGGAAGTCAGATGCTGGTGCTGCAGGATGTGCTTTGCAAGTTTAGCTGAGGCACAAGGGTGCGGTGGTGGCAGTGAATGGTGAGGCTGCCACTGTGCAGGACCAGAACAGGTGGCAGGACCCGGCTGGGCACTCTCCGCCACACTAACAGAGTTCCGCTCAGCTGGCAGGACCTGGCTGGGCCCTCTCTTCCACACTACCAACAGTGTTCTGATCAGCTGTTGGAGATTGGACAGGGTTTTGGAGAGGATTCATTCATTCATTCATCTCTAAACCAGGGAGAGGGGCTTTGTGGTCTCTTGAGACTTATACTTCTGACATGGCCTGCAGCAGGGCTGGGGGAGAGATGGAGCTGGTGAGGATGAGTGTCTCTCATACTGGCTCTAGTCAGGGGAGAGTGGGCAGCCAGGACAGAGCAATGGGTCTCAACAGCATCTGTTCAGAGTGGGCTGCTGAGAAACTGTGGCAGAGGGTAAGGGTTGTCCCTCTGAGGAGAGACTGTTTGCCTGTAGAGTCAAACAGGGCCTTAAAGAACCTGCAGAAGTGCTTTGTGGGAGAGTCAGAGGGATGAGATTATCTCAGGACAGCTCCACACAGGGAGAGCTTGCCTCTCCCTGCCCCCGCCTTGCCCCGTTTTGGCCGCTTAGGGTCAGTACCCTCAAGCCAGCAGAGGAAGGAGGAACAATGCTGGGCATAGGGAACGTGATGGCCATGCCTTCCTTTCTAAGGAGAGGGGCCGGCTGTGGCAGGCAGCTTAGGAAAGCAGCTGTTGGCCTGCAGTGTGTCAGACAGTTTGATTACCATCCAGCTGGGACGCTTTTCATTGCTGAATCAAGACTCTTTTCGGCTTGAAGTGACTGTAGAACTTTCTATCACCTACGAGTTTGAAAAGTCATGGGACTTACCTAAATTTTCAACAGTGGCATGGGAAGGGTTACCTGCTAGGTTCAAAGGCATGACAAGAGGTAAACAGTGTCGGCTAATGATTCTGTACATGTGAGTTAGTGTGTCATTGTACTAGTAATAAGCATGTATGAGGAAAGAAGTGTTCAGCTACTTGGCTGTGGAGGCTATATTGATGTTAAACTAAATAGTGCTTCTCATGCATCAGATGCACTATGTGAGAGGAAGAGAAGGGTCCCTGATGATGTGGCTAGAGCTCCTGGGGAAGGAGGTGTCCTCCACTCAGAAGAGAGAATTGGGAGCAAGGTGTTCCCTGGCTTTGTTTCAGTGGAGGGTGGTGGGAACTGGAGCCTTCTACCGTGTAAAGTTTCCAGTAGCTTCTTCATCTAAGTTGAGGTGATGGGCATGTGAGAGGGTGCTCAGAGGGACTGCAGGTCAAGGGTGTACATGTAAAGTCAGTGACATGTAGATGGTGGTTAAAGTCACCTGAGCAGTGAGTGTAGATGGATAAGAAGAGAAGCCTGAACACTGCTCCTGGGGGGTTCCTGCACTGGGAGGCCAGGGGGAAGGAGGGAGTCAGCAAGAGGCTGGTGTTTCCTCTCGGGCAGGCACGATATGGGAGAGAACTGTGTCTTGGAGAGAGGTTAAAGAGCTCTGAGAAGGTGACTGCTGGGTCAGATGTTGTCCAAAAGTCAAGGAAGATAGAAGAGGAATGTTGACCATTGCACCGGCTGGCACGATGAGGTCCTGGGTGGACTTGACAAGAGCAATCTTGGCGGTGGGGATGAGAACCTGGACCCTGGCATAAAGTGAAGGGAGGTAAGGAAGTGAGGATGCAGTGTAGATCCCCTTTTCCGGGGGCAGAGCAATGGGAGGCAACTGCAGGGAGATACGGGATGGAGAAAACCCGGTTTTCTTCACTCTTTTGCACATGGATATCCATTTTTTCCATTTGCCATACTAGGGATTGAACCCAGAGCCGTTCCACCACTGAGTTACAGTCCCAGTCCTTGTTATTTAAGATGAGGCCTCTCTAAGTTGCTTAGGCCAGGCTGGCCTCCTGCCTCAGCCCCCAAAGAATTGGGCTTACCAGCATCCTCCACTGTGCCTCTCTGGGAACTGGATTTTTTAAAATTAAATTTTGAATTTTGAGACAACTGTAGATTCACGTGAAGTTGTCAGACCTTACAGATGGACCCTATGTGCCTTTTCCCTGCTTTCTCTCAGTGGTAACAACTGGCAGAACTTATTCGACATCATAACCAGGCAATGAGATGCAGCATTCAATGGCACAGATGCCTCTGCCACCCTTGGATGGCTACACCCTACTCAGCTCTGACAACCTCTGGCTTGTTTGCCCTAGCTGCAGTTCTGCCATTTTAAGAATGTCACGTAGATAAAACCACACGTTACTTTCTTGGTATTGGCTATTGTCACTCAAGTAGATTCCCTGGAGGTTACGCAGCTTGTCCTGTTAGTGTTTCCAGAACTGTTTGGTATGGATGTACTGCAGTCTGCTTACTGTTCCCCTATTGAAGGACAAGGGGTGTTTCCATCTAGGGTTATTATGGACACCATTGCTACACATTTGCATACAGGTTTTTCTACACACAGGTTTCCATTTCTTTGGAACAAATGCACAAGAACTTTCTGTGTTGCATAGTAGTTGCATATTTAGGTAAGAAACTACACCTTCAGGGCTGGGGAATTGGAGCTCAGCAGGAGACCAGACTGCCCAGGATGTGTAAGGCCCTGTGTTTGAGCCCTAGCACTGCAAAAAACAAACAAAAAGAAACTCAAACTTTCCTGAGGCCTGTGCCCTTTCACATCCCTCCAGCCGTGTGCGAACAGTCTGGTCTTCTTGCGTCCCTGCCAGAGCTGCTGTGGCACTGTTTTGTTGCCATGGCTCTGACAGGTGTGTGGTGACATGTCATTGTGGCTGTCATCTGTATTTCTTGATGGTTAGTGATGTTGAGCATCTTTTCCTGCTTGTCTGCCACTTGCCCTTTTTTTGGTGAAATGACTCTCTATGTCTTGTCCGTATGCTGTTTGAAGTCCTCTTTCAGTGGAGTCTTTAGGGTCCCTTGTGTATTCTAGGTGCCAGTGCCTTGTTAGATATATAGTTTGCAGATATTTTCTCCTTATCGGTAGCTTGTCTTTTCTTGCTCTTTCACACAACAGACATTTTAGTTTTGATCAAGTCCAGTTTATCATTTTTCCTTTTGTGGATTGGACTTTTGTGTCT